GTTGTGAATACCTTCCCTCAGAAAACCCTCGACATGTGAGGGACTGAGGGAAGCCTTCGGCAATCAGCAGTAGACAAAGTTCTCCAGCAAAGGCACCCAGCGAAATGAGGAAGCCTCCAGAAGAAGCAACACATCTACTCCTTTTTCCTCAAGTACCTTTCGGCAAAAGGAGTGAGGGACTCCTGATGGAGTATATGGCCCAGGAACCCCCAGCCCATAGACTCCTATTTCTCCTACACAAGTCCATTGAGCCCAGGAAACAACTCAGGCCCAAATACAACGGCCCAAGCCTCAAAATAGCCCAGAATACACACTGGGGTGCCTTCGGCCTCCTTGGCCGAAGGCTCCAAAACTCACAGGATAGCCTTCTCTGGCATAAGAAGCTGCTGGGAGAAAACGGGCGAGGACATGAGCCTTCGGCATTCTCATTCCCTCGGCACCAGGGGAGCCTTCGGCTGAACCAAGCCTTCGGCTACACAAGGAGCCCTCGGCTACACAAGGAGCCCTCGGCTACACAAGGAGCCCTCGGCTACACAAGGAGCCTTTGGCTGAACAAGGAGCCTTCGGCTGAACAGGCTCAATCATCGAAGATTCCTTTTAGAGACAACCAACCACCGCATTTAATGCCACGTCGCATCCGCCAACCGCATTCAATGCGGTTGACGTACCACTGCCGGTGCCACCAGGCTGATGTGACCCTTCGGCCGTTGGATTACTGACACGTGTCCTCTCATCGCATTTATTGCTGCTATAAATAGCAGCCCATTTCTCCTTGTAAATCATCATCTACATCTCAACTCCACACGCTGAGTTCATTCAATAAATCGACTCTCTCTCCTCCTATTTGCTCTGACTTCTCTCTAAGTTATTCCCACAATAACCCCTCGGATAAGATACCCCCCGGATAGACTATCCATCAGGCTCTTTTGATCGTTCCTTCCTCGATTGTACTAGCAAAAAATTCCTGCAAGAGTAGAAATTCAGGGGATGGAGAATTTGACGAATTCTGCTTTTGTTCAAACACCTTATCAGATGCATCCATAAACATTTCCTCCAAAAGCTTAGGTAGATCACGATGTTCCCATTTGTCATTTAATTTCTGAACTCCCTCATCAATCTGTTGGATATAAGATTGCATTTGTTTGAGTTGAACATCCATAGTTGAAAATGGCGATGCCTTTTGATTTTGACTTGAAAACCCCTGTAAGGTTAAATTACTAATATCCGATTGAAGTAGCAAATTAGAAATAGAGAACTCTGCATGATAATAGTGTGTTCCATACATACATACATACATACATACATGCATACATACATACATACATACATACATACATACATACATACATACATACATACATACATACATACATACATACATACATACATACATACATACATACATACATACATACATACATACATACATACATACATACATACATACATACATACATACATACATACATACATACATACATACATACATACATACATACATACATACATACATACATACATACATACATACATACATACATACATACATACATACATACATACATACATACATACATACATACATACATACATACATACATACATACATACATACATACATACATACATACATACATACATACATACATACATACATACATACATACATACATACATACATACATACATACATACATACATACATACATACATACATACATACATACATACATACATACATACATACATACATACATACATACATACATACATACATACATACATACATACATACATACATACATACATACATACATACATACATACATACATACATACATACATACATACATACATACATACATACATACATACATACATACATACATACATACATACATACATACATACATACATACATACATACATACATACATACATACATACATACATACATACATACATACATACATACATACATACATACATACATACATACATACATACATACATACATACATACATACATACATACATACATACATACATACATACATACATACATACATACATACATACATACATACATACATACATACATACATACATACATACATACATACATACATACATACATACATACATACATACATACATACATACATACATACATACATACATACATACATACATACATACATACATACATACATACATACATACATACATACATACATACATACATACATACATACATATATATATATATGTAGAGTAATCTTCTGGTCAGGTATACCTGACCGGAGCCGTCGTCCGGCCTCCTCCTTTTGGGGGCCTTACCGGTGGTATTTTTTGCTCAAATTTTTTGTGTATGTTCCTCATCAAGTCTAGTTCATCCATACCAAACTTCATCAAAAAATTCAATCAGGAAGGTCGTCAAATGATTTTTTCAAGTTAACTGGTCCGGAAAATACATATTCCGGACCAGTTAACTTGCAAAAATCATTTGACGACCTTACCGATTGAATTTTTTGATGAAATTTGGTATGGATGAACTAGACTTGATGAGGAACATACACAAAACATTTGAGAAAAAAATACCACCGGGAAGGCCCCCAAAAGGAGGAGGCCGGACGGCGGTTCCTGTCAGGTATACCTGACAGGAACATTTGTGTGTGTGTGTGTGTGTGTGTGTGTGTGTGTGTGTGTGTGTGTGTGTGTATATATATATACACACACACACACACACATATACTACCATTGGCACTAGAGTTTGCACAAAGAGTATCTAGGTGTACCGTGTACGTGGATCGAGTATCACTTTTAGTTTCAGGATATGAATGCTTTATATGTAATTAGTAAAACAATATATGTATATTGTTATTATAATAAATGGGTAACGAGCCAAAATACGTAGATATTTCAAATATACTTTCTTATTTTGATGTAGGAGATCATGGCAGTCGGTCTTATCAATTATACACTCTTATTCAATTGACTAACCCTAGATCATTACTTTGCAATCTGTCCTTGTGAAATTGACCATTCTTTCTTGATGACCAAATAATTTATTTTTACGCTCCATTTGTCAACTTCTTGCTTTGCTCCTTCAACTGTTTCTTATGTTTTTATAGTTGATCATATTTGGGTAGGTGGTTTCACCGATATCTACTCACGAAAGGGAAGTTGGCATCTCACAGTCTCACACAGTATATATATTCCAACACTTATATCCCATGATAGACCTCATGGATATGAGGTGGAGGAACTCCTACTTCCGTTCCTAAAAATAACCTTCAGTACTTATTTCCTAGAATCGTGTCCTACTTTTAACCTGATTGCTTGAATAACATTAGTTCTCCAATGAGTGTTTAGGTGTTGCGGCAGCCACTAAAAAGAAATATTGTTGTGGTTGAAGAAGTGAAGCGAATTATTAATCACAATTTAAGGATAACTTTGGTTTCAAGCATTGACAAAACCATCTAAAATGACATATGTTGATTTTGATTAAGGTTGTTAACGATTCGAGTTGAGCGCGAACATCTAGAGCTCAAGTTCGACTCTTTTGGATAATAATGGTCTTTAGATTCGAGGTTGGAACTCGACGAGAATTTTGCATAGGTATATATTATATAGATCATTGAAAAGGATTTTTGTCAAGGATTTTGCATAGCACGTCCTTGTCATACCCGAGCTAAAACATACTCCCTTCGTACCATTAAACTTTTCTCGCTTACCATTTTAGGATGTCCCAAAAAAAACTTTTCATTTACCTTTTTTATAAATTTTATACGACTAACATTCATTTACTTTTTTCTTAATTACAACCATACATTTTCACTTTGTTATAATTTTCTCAAACTTCAATCAAGTCCAGCCGTGAGAATTTTACAAAATAAAGGGAGTATGTAAAAGTGACCCACTCTAAAAGCAATGTTGCCATGAAAAACATAGCATCCTTTTTGATAAAAAAAAATGGGTCAACTATAAATTAATGTTTGACTCTTGATTTTTTACAATGCAATTTAATACAAGTTCAATATGTAAAATCAAATTATCAAGTAAAGTTGTGTCAAAGGAAATCCTGAATCGTACTGAACTGAAACTCTGACCATTAATAGGGTAAATATAACTACAAGTCAAATTCAAAATCATAAATTGTGCAAGGATATTCTGGTTCTAATTCGAATTACATTTGTCTTTCAAAAAAACTTATTATTATTGTTCAAAATAATCTTAATGGATCAAAAACTAAATCTATAATAATCCAATAAAACCTATAGATGTGCATTGCTTGAAACTGACAAGTGACAACATTTTGGTTCAAGGAATGTCAGATAACCATGGGAATGTTAGATTACTGGGTATGTTAGATAGATGGGAATGTGATTAATGTATAGCCTATTTGTGTTTGGTTACGATTAAGGAATGTCACATTAAGTTGTTTGGTTGAATGATATCTTTTATTGCATATTTGGTGAATTACTTGAATGTCCTTTATATATTTGTCTCTTAACACATTAAACTTATCAATTATTAGAAAATGTATTTCATGTTTTATTTTTTTTCTCAATTTTCAATTGTAGTTCATGTTTCAAATAAATATACTTTAAGTTTTTATATGTAGCACTTCTTGAATTAATTTTTAGACATGAATTAGAAAAATGTACCCGGCCCGACCCGTTACCCGGGCGGGTAGACCGCCCCGAACCGGTACTGGTCAACAGTCGTTCCGGTCCCGGGCTTCATTCCCAAAAAGCCAAGCCCATCCGGGCTCGACCCGGAATCGGACTGGGCTCGATCCACATCTAGATATTTCGATTAATGAAGCATAGGTTTTTTTTGGAAGAAAATTAATAAGCCATCAGGAATCTAACATAACCTAAGGCATTGGTGGGTTTGACATGCCTGGTAATGTGATCACCTTTTCCACTTTTGGGAATGTAACATTCCCAAAAGAAAAAATCAAACCCGCGAACCAAACACAGGTATCTCACATTCCGGGCATGAGATTCCGCCATGCATAAGATATCACCTTGAACCAAACACTCCCTTAATCTATTTGGGATGTAAGAAATTAATAAGTGTGGACTAGATCCACCATCTTGATGTCGTTGATGAACAAAAAAACACAATTACAGGAATTACATAAATCATGAAGTGATTGTACCACAATCATGTCTTCCGTCAACCAATTGATGTACTTCTATCTTCAGCTGGTTGTGACGTGACAGTTTGGTAATTCGATCTCACATTCTGAAACAAAAAATAACAGAAGAAATAATAAAAACATCAACTTGGCTCCAGTATCAAACATACACTACCTCTGAGAGAAATCCAATACAATATAGATGAAGAAAGCTGGTACCTCAAGCAGTGTTATATAATAGAAATCTTCCATATGCTGCATAAGTGCACTTCCATCTCTGATAGCTCGAAAGATATTGATCTCCGTGTTCAATATCTTCTCAATAAGTTCCTTCTCGCCTTTCATCTGCACATATAAAAAAAGTCTCCAGTCACAAGTTGTACTCAATAATGTCAACCTGCACAGGCTTACGAGATTATGCAAAAAGTATGCAGAGTAAACAAGTATGCAGAGTACTCAATTATGCAAGAACAAGGTTAACAGTAAAAACACGCTTTACGAGATTACATGTATATGCAGAGTAGTAAACACTAAAATAAATAAAAGTTTGGTTGGACCATGAGAAACCGGCACATTTATTTATTAAGAAAAGTATGATATGTTGGTATTTATTAAGAAAAGTATGAATGATTTTTTTATACATCGGAAGGGCAAGAATATTCACAATGAGATGGGAAATATATGGAGGCAATTATATGTGCACAACCATATACTACGTATTAAAATTTGAGGAAAGGAATAGAAGTTCAAACATACAAATTCGCTGACAATAACATCAGGTGTGGTTTCCCCAATAATATCTCCTTGGTAACCGTCTTCCAATTGTTCGATGTTGGGCTGATAATAACAAATGATCAACAGGAAAGAATAAATTTTTGGATACTTTGAAGATGTTACAAAAAAAGTGTAAAAACATAGCATTACAATACATGTACGGATGTACTATCCTCAGTGTATACATACACAAATAGATATTTGTGCTTATTAAATGGGTCTCAGCCTCTCCGGCTACACATACCACCTCCCCTTAATTGAAGCATGTGTATGGGGTGTATCGATCACACCTTTAAGAAAATAAGAGAGCATTAAGCAGAGTAAGGTTTTCTTTACTAGGTGTTTCATATAGATTTCAATTGTTCTAAAGTAATACAATAAAAGACGTGTATAAGAGACTACCTCCAGATTTGGGTAATTCAATTTTAGCCTTTCTACTACTGCATCATTTTACTTTTTGTTCTCAATTTTCAAAATTAGCTAGATTTGGAGAATGGTGTACACGAATATTGAAAATATATCACAACTAATCTTCTAATAGGACTTAAGTAGACATTAAAACTAACACATTTCTAATGTTCAGTACCAAAGCAAGTCAAATTCGTGTTTGATGGGGGGAAAAATAAGAAATTAGGCTTAAGATCAAGTATTGTACTCGCTCCATTCCAAAAACACATTCTTATTCTATAAAAATGAGTTTGTTTATAAGCAACTGTCCATATTACTCTTTCTTTTTGCTCAATTTAACTAAATAACCTAAGATTACATTTGGCAAGTCAAAGCAAAACTTTATCTTGCATAAATATGTTTGTAGGTCAAACCAAGAACTTGTTTTGGGGACGAGGGGAGTAACATGCAGGGAGGCGGGAAGTTTATAACTTAGAATGAAAATAAAAATTAAATAAAACATTTAAAAGAGTAGCCAAGTCGGAGGAGCAGTTCATCACCATTGCATGTTTCAGATCTCCTGCTGCGAGATAAACAGGTTGAGCTACATGGCAGTAGCCCATTAAACGCGGAACTGTTGGAATTATATCTCTGTGATTTACAACCCTCCAGCTATCTTTAACTTTCTGCAACAAAGGAACCTAGTTTTTAAGTGCATTAAAGCAAAACCAACGCCCCCACAAGGCACAAAGCACTGAAGTCTGGTTCTACTTTTCATCAAAGTACAGTACATTATAAAAATCTTCAATCATAAAAAGTAGGAACGCTCAGTATTGATCACTTCACTACAATAGCACACTCAATTTTAGTTCCATTTGACTATCTTGCGTGGAAATATAAGTTTCACTCATCCATTATTCTTTCTATTAAAATATTGGAATACACTATGTCACTATGGCTACTTAAAAGTTCGGCAATTGTCTAAGTTTAAGCCCTCAACAACAAAATGGAATAATTGAAATCCTCAGTTTTCCTTCAAGACAGAACCCACTGTCATCTTCTTTGCACGTGTGTGCATGAATACAGGCTAATGGAATCAAACACCAAACAGCCATCATCATCATCATCATCATCATCATCATCATTAACCCAGTGCCGGAAAGGCTCCCACTTACGGTGGGGTAAGGGTGGGTCGGATGTACGCACCCTTACCCTTGTACTAAAGCACAGGCAGACTGTTTTCGGATGACCCATGGTGAAAATCACGTCGAAAATTGCATGGACTAATTGCTGCTTCATAACAAAGAAGCGCAGACAGTTTAGAGAGCCATTTTGCTTTATTCCATCATATTCCCAAGCCAAAAATAGGTAAACTTTGGCTCCAATGCAAATGATGGAAACACCAAACAGCCAAACAAGAAAATTAAAATTAGAACTATAGTGAATGAATTATGAACTCATGATTCAAGGAAATATGAAGGTGGATTCAGCTTAAGAAAATCAGGATTCAAACCATGCAACAAAAGTCAGTCCATATAATTTTCGATGCGATTTTCACTATGGGTCATCCGGAAACAGTCTTGTTGTGCTTTAGTTCACTGTTAAGACTGCGTACATCCGACCCTCCCTTATCCCACCATAGGTGGGAGCCTTTGCGGCACTGGGGTAATGATGATGATGATGATGATGATGAGACCATGAAAGAAAAGGCTTCTCATAAATGAGGAAGAATGAAGTATTCCCAACTAGAAGGATTGAAGTGAGATACCCGTTCATTTGTAAACTATATCTTGTACATTTCAATTATACAATACAAAGCTTATTTATTTGATTAAGTCTTAGTATCTCGTGTGCGGTGAGTGTACAAAAGTTTTCTTAGCTCGTGATCCTGAAAGAGGTTGGGGTGTCGTGTCTCCCCAACAGAAATGTTCTCAGATAAATTGAACTTCTCTAAAGTCGAGTATAATATACTTAATGGAATTGATACTGCCACATTGGTCAAAGGACTAAGGTTGAAATATTAATGAAGACGAGAACTTAGAAAATTTTAGAACTTTACTACAAGAAAAGAAGGGTTTAACTCTTATAAAAACTCTAAATTGTCTGTAAGAAAAAAATAAATGGGCCGTCTAACTTTCCCTATTTCTCAAAAATTCCATAAAAAGTTGCTTAGATGGAAGAAGAGACGTGCTGAGAAGTGAGAATATACGACATATTTTCTTTATATTTAAGGAGATGCAGAATGTCACTTTACCTCATTATACACTTCAGCAAATGGTTTGTTCCCAACCCTTGGAGATCCAAAATTGTACATAGTCACAGAGACAGCTCCCCTCCTACACCCCCACACCAGATATCGGAAAACAAAAATGATATTGGAAAACTTAAAATATGCATTCATTTCCTTATTTGATGCAATAAGCACCCAAATAATGAACAAGATGAACAAGAATCTCAACCTTTAATAAATATAACATCAACACCCTCAAAATTTCAGCCTAGTTAGCATATAAAGTCTGTCCTTGACTAGTATAATTACTTATATGGTGTTAAAGTATTTGTCGCACACCGGAACGCTATAACACAACAAAACACTAAATAAGATTGTGGGCTACTCCTCCTATTAGATTGACCTTTTAGGATGGAACCCCAAGTCTTAACAAATGGCATGTATTCAATCGGGGGGAAACGACAATATTTGATAATAAACCTGCTTGCAGTCTCCAAGAATATAGTTTTTGCATTAACAAACAGATTCACATGTTATCATGTTCAAGAAACATAGTGGTCTGACCAGCAAGTAGACAATTAACAGAAATTGACAAGCAAATAGCAACCATCATTAAGAGGACAGAATGCATATAAAATTCTAAGTTCATATAGGAAGATATTACTTTGCCAATTGACTTGATGATAATTCAAGAGCAAGAAGCGTAGCCAAAGCGCCACCTAAGCTATGACCAGTTACATAAACATGCCACTCAGGTATTGGTATGATCACTTTGATGCCATTGTCTCTGCAATGCATTCAGTTAACTATGGTTAAGTTAAGTTAAATGTCATAATCCCAATTATGCATGAGACTAAATGATGGCACAAGAAACATTTCTTGAGTGTAGTAGCTTCCAAAATGGCTAATGCTATAATGCTGTGTAAGCAGTATTGTTAACAATAAATAAATAAATAAATAAAACAAAGCAAAAACAAGAACAAAAACAGCAAAAACAAAAGCAAAAAAAAGACAAGCCCTGGCTGCCTTTAGGTTACCTAGAAATTGCAAGAATATAGAATAACTAAAAAACTGATATCTATATAACACCTAAAGTGCTACAGGAAATAAAAAACAAAGATGATTATTAAGTATACGCTACATCAGGACTTATCCTTTAAATAATATTATACTCATAGTTCATTGAAGTGAATGTATGCTAAATTGGAGTCAGAAGAAATAACTAGAATAATCAACTGAAAATTCTCGTGTATCATAACTGGAAACTTACACATATCCGATTGCTTTCTTGATAAGTAAGATAAGCTTTGTTCTGACAGAATCATATGCACTTAAGAAACCACTATGAACCTGAAGGATATAGACATTATCATTTGATAAATCATAAAAAGGAAATAATAATAATAATAATAATAATAATAATAATAATAATAATAATAATAATAATAATAATAATAATAATAATAATAATAATAATAATAATAATAATAATAATAATAATAATAATAATAATAATAATAATAATAATAATAATAATAATAATAATAATAATAATAATAATAATAATAATAATAATAATAATAATAATAATAATAATAATAATAATAATAATAATAATAATAATAATAATAATAATAATAATAATAATAATAATAATAATAATAATAATAATAATAATAATAATAATAATAATAATAATAATAATAATAATAATAATAATAATAATAATAATAATAATAATAATAATAATAATAATAATAATAATAATAATAATAATAATAATAATAATAATAATAATAATAATAATAATAATAATAATAATAATAATAATAATAATAATAATAATAATAATAATAATAATAATAATAATAATAATAATAATAATAATAATAATAATAATAATAATAATAATAATAATAATATGAATATCTGACAAGATTGAAAGCTAAATAAAACAAACATTTGACAAGGAAAAATGCACTTTCGTATCTAAATTATATTGATATAGTTCATATCACCTAACTATTATTCCTATATTTTACTCCTCGACTTTCAATTCTGTTGCGTATATACATAATACATCCCCTATTAACCGGAATATACCAAAGTGCATACATCCCCTATCAACCTAGCAAATTTTCCTTCATTCACCTGTTACAAATATATTGCAAAGTATATAAATACTACTCCTATTTGGATCGGAGTTTAAGAAAGTGGGAATAAAGTGGAAATGTATGGTTGTGGTGGAGTAAGAAAAAGGCAAATGAATGGTAGCCACACAAAACTTTCCAAAAAAGGAAATGGAAACTATTTTTTGGGATGGCCCAAAAAGGAAACTGGGAACTATTTTACGGGATGGAGGGAGTATATAATAATAGCTGATTAGCTACATAAAGGGGAAAAAACATAACAGTTTCAAGGTTACTCTAAATTTCTTCCTCAATCACATCCATCAGTTTATTCTACTTGCACATGATCAATGTAGCATAACCTTGAATCCATCAGTTTATGCTACTCATACATGTGCACATAAAAGACCAAGGTAGCATAACCTTGGACCAGATATGAAGTTAGGTCAGTAGGCTCATAGCCATTCTATGTTTTGGGCTTTCTTTACCTTTTGTAATTCGAACAAGTCCGTGAACTTGACATCATATTTAGCTCGCATCTCATATAATATTATTTTGCTCATAATTGGTGCCATTGGAATCAACTCTTAAAAATGCATACTTTCAGGCTTAGGAGAAGAAAATGCAATCCCTTGGGGTATTCGAGCCAAGTTGTTGGCCAACTATCGAAACTAGAATCATCCCAGAATTCAGCAACACTTCAAAAAAGGAAATAGGTAACCAACATGCACCAGCTATGAAGTTGATGTGCCCAAACATCATAACTTCAGGGTTAGGGGTTATTTGTTCATTCCCTTAATCTTCACGCTATAATGTTGATGGCCCTCTGTTCATTCCCTTGATCTTCACGCGATGATGTTGATGGCCCTTTGTTCATTCCCTTAATCTTGGCAGTTGAAACTTGGCATCATATTTGGCCAACATCTAATTCAACGAGTGTTCACTTGAGTGGCACCTAGCCCGCCTAGAACACTTAATCGGACTCCTAGCCGACTGGTTCAATTTTTATAACACTTCACAAGTCACAACAGGTGGCAATCTAAGCAGTTAAATTCGCTACTCAGTAGCAACTCAATCAAGGATTGAGTAGCAAGTGGGACTGAGTACTCAGGATTAATCGGCCATGTATTAATTAAATATAAATATACAGATGCATGAAATTAATCATTTCATTTTGTTTTCATTTACCCAAGTGCCGCAAAGGCTCCCACCTACGGTGGAGTAAGGGGGGGGTCGGATGTACGCAGTCTTACCCCTGTACTAGAGCACAGAGAGACTGTTTCCGGATGACCCGTAGTGAAAATCGCGTCCAAAATTGCATGGACTGACTGCTGCTTCATAAGAAAGAAGCGCAGACAGTTTAGTGAGCCATTTTGCTTTATTCCATCATATTCTCAACCCAAAAAATAATGAATCTTTGGCTCCATTGCAAATGATGGAAAAAGATGCATGAAATTAATCATCTAATAATTTGGTCCGATACTAATCTTCATTGGGTTCAAGGTCGTTGTTTTCTTCTTCATCTTCCATGTCCTCAAATAGACTTTGGAAGATTAATTTCCAATTTCTAAAATTCTCACTAATTATTTATAAATTCCATAACATCCCACTTTAACTAAAAAAATTAGATTCAACACCCAAAAAAATTCAGAGTGGCCGAGTAACTCGCCGAGTCAAACATTTCTCCGAGTTAAGAAACTCGCCAAGTACTCCGGGAGTAACTCAGAATAACAGGACGGGCCGAGTCAGATAGCTAAACGGGATGCCCACTCCCTCAGTTGCGGGTACTAGCCGAGTACTCACTGAGTAATTATGAAATGAATAATGTTCAATAGAGTCCCCCTGAAAACATCTCACTACTTTTACTTTCATTTGGTGCAAAATCTTGTGTGGGTGGCACCAGTAATAATGCCGTTGGGAGTTTTAAGTCTAAAAACAGTTAGGCAGATACAATCCACTTACAAGAGATCACCATGGACAATTAAATGCTTCAATCATCTCTCCCACACGGGGACTACGAGTGGTTCTGCTTCCTAGCTCTTACCCCCTTAATTCTCACCTGTTCCTTGGGGATTTGACTCAAACACTAGTTGCCTAAAGGCCCAAAACCTGAATCCGTTCTCCTCAGTTACTCTTCTAGTCTACTGTGCTTATTCATTTTAGTTCTGCGTCAACCTCTACACTTTGCTAGCTTTATATTTGACTACCTGGCCTACCCTATAAGGCTATAAGTATACTCCGAGAGGGGAGGGGGGCAATTGACTGACAAATCCACTTCACTATGAGACACAATTTTTAAAGGAGTAAAAATGTTTTGAAATTCCAAAAAAGGAGTATCATATTTTTTATTCCCTAAATAGGAGTAATCTGTCATGTTTGGGAAAAAATGCCATGTTTAAAGCCTTGTAATGTCCAAACTTGGCAGAAATTTACTCCTATTTAGGGAATAAAAAACATGATACTCCTATTTTGGAATTTCAAAAAGTTTTTACTCCTATTTAGGGAATTCTCTCTTTTCTTAAATCATTTCAATTATGGTTGATGTTGGTTATTGCAAGCATCATACATAGTATTTTATAATAGTTCTCAAACAAGCCAGCCGAAATACTATTTCTGAATTTGTTTGTCTCTTGGTGATATATTACTTTAATTTTCTAATGTAGACTACAATTAGGGTGACCAAAGATGCTTATTACATTCTAATACTCATTGCCATGCTATGACTAGCAATGCCATAGTGCATGCCATAATTGGGATCTGCAACCCATGCCGTCAGACATCCTCAAGTCTCAGTTCTGACTAAAGTACAAGTATTATGGCAATGTACTTGGAGCAATAGCTTGTGAGTTTGCTGTTATACTGATGCATTGAGGCAGTTGAAGCAATGGATGGCTGTGGGCTGTGGAAACATTGCGGAAGATCTTGATGGATTAGATAAGTTTTTTAAAGAAACTACTGGTTTAAATGGAAGTCAGTGTCATTTGCGGAGCAAAATATGCCGGCCCACATACTAGCTACTTGGTGAAAACAGAAAAGACAATGTTAGTAATAATGTTGTTAGGTGTAAGAAGTGGAATGTTATAGGTAATAGGCTCTCATAGGGATACAGAGGTGGGGAATGAATAAAGAGGAAAAGATCGAGAAGTTTTAAACTAAAGAGATGAAAGTATAAGTTTTCTGGAAAGGGTCAGGTCACGTAGCTCACCTCATATTAGGCGAGACATATGACTTACTAAATCGCATGACTAGAAATCAATGCCAAACTCCCATTCAACACATACAACTCAGCCTCAGATAATTATTTGTACCTGAACTTCCTGCTTGAAATCACCTCCTATCCTTTCAGGGTTTAGCCTATAGAGTAAAGATACAGTCAAAAGTAAAAATCAGGCAACAATGCATACAACAACACCAAACACAATGACGCATTTAGTTTATTTGTAGCTTGAGAGACATAGCTAGTTTTGAATACAGTACACATAGCATAATTATAGTCTTCAGAACAGCACACCCTTAGCAGACCTAGGGCACAACTGCACAAGCATAACCCTTTTGAGGGCTATTTATTATCCAAGGCTCAACATAAGTATGCAAACTTTAACAGCTCGGAACTTTAATTCGTAGATAACATAAGTACAACGAATCAAGAATGACAAATATATATCCAATACTTAAATCTTGCAAGTGTCAAACAATGAAGTTATATACTTATATTTGATACATGCTGATTCATGAAGGTATTAAATAGTTTTGGCTTGGATAACCTAATAAAGAAGGTAGTTTTACATCTACTTGCTTTCGATGAAGTGCCATAATGAGTCCTGATTGCATTCAAGTTACAAGGAACAGATATTTTCTGAATTTCAACTGCATAGCATATACTAGAGCAGTTCAGCAGAAATTATTAGCCCTTGCAAATTATGGGATTTATATGAGCAAATTATGGGATTTAAGAGAGTGTGTATACTTACCCTGTTGGAACCACCATTAAATCCGTCCGAAGATCTTTCCATCTAGCCTGGAAAAAGAAATAGGAAAGTGCTCTAACCGAGATATGTTAAACAATTTATAATTTACAATATGCATAAGCAGGAAGTAAGGAACCAACTTGTTCTGTTCCTCTGAAAGCAACAACTAATCTTTTACGAGATTGATCTCGCCAAAGCGCAACCTGCAGATTTACACAGTATGGAATTAGAAGTCCATCTCTCCCCTAATCCCAGTTCGCTACCAAGAGAAAAATGCTCTCTAAGCCCCATTCTGTTTTATCTTCTTCATGTTTTGGTATGTCCCAAATTCACTTTCGTAATTTGAAACCCACTAATTTTTATTTTTATTTTTCCCGGTTTATCTTTTCCAACTATCCTACAAAGTTATACTTGGTTGGTACCATTGTTCTTTTCTTTTCAAGAGGTAAATATGAAATTTGTTATCTTCAAAATTGTATCAAAGAAGGGTGTATCATACACTGTGAAATGAAGGTCAAAAGTAATCTATAGTAGCACTTTTACTTCATCAGGTGGGAGGAGGGGTGTATGAAAGTACAATCCACAGTGAGTAATAAGTTAATAACAGGTGAACCTACCTGAGTGTCAGTGGATGAGTTATCTAAGAAGCATATCTTATCAAATTCAGATTTGATAAACGTTGGGTGCCCCAAGGATGTGGCTAGCATCGCCCAAGCCTCCATAGCCGTCTCTGCTTTTGTAAAAAGTTCCCTCATTTCCTCGGCATTCTTTTCATTTAACAACGTTCCGCAGTTATGCATTGAATATCCGTAAACATCACTCTTTATTTCATTTGCTGAGTCCTTATTTGTGTCACCACTTCCTATAAGTCTCACTTCTTTGTTCAACTTGGAAGCAGTAGAATTTAGAACCATATGAGCACCCAAAATGGAATCAGCCTGTCGTAACAAATCTCCTGTTGCCTTCTTAATATCTGGCAAAGATGACTGAATGGTGTTAATTATTTGTGATACAGACCGTTCAGTTGATCCATCACTATTAAGAGTCTCCTGTTTTTCAGGAGTAGCAAGTCCAGATTCAATATAACCTGCCTCTGCCACTTCTTGAAATTGCAACCCAATTTTATTTAAGAAGTCCAATTCATCCCACCTTATTTTCTCAAAAGCTGGGAAACCAAGTCTCTGAACAACATTATGATTCACCATTTCAGCAAAGTTTTTCCAAAAACTCTTATCAGACAGTGAGGCCTTAACAATGTGAGTCCCTGAAGGATTAAGTTCATCCCGCTTTGAGCCACTTGGGGAGCACTCTGGATCTTGAAGCCTATCTGGCCGGTTTGAATAACTTAAAGAGCTTTCTAATGTTGAAAGTGCAACATGTTCCATAGAATGCTCAGAAGGTTTTACTATTTCATCAGTTTCATTTGAAGTCTGCTCCTTTTGAATGTCAGCGTTATTAAACAACTTTAGCTGTGGAAAAGCAAACTGAACAAACTCCCGTGCTTGCACCACCTCTGAGCCAAGAATTGTCTTCAATGCAGATTCAAAACCATTTTTCTCAAGAAGTTCTGTAATTATTGGAATGTGCCACCACTTCTTTTCTTCATGAACTTTATCAAAACTCTTGTATTTAATCTGAAACATTTTATGTGATAAGTGAGAGTGCACACAAAGAAATGAAAGCAGACCCATAAATATACAGAGTAATTATATTAATAAATCATTAGCAAAGTTGCACAGTAAAAAGGTTGTCCAACCCAGACATCAAAGTTCAAGTTCAAAAATATAGATTAGGTGGTTCTTCTGTCTAAAAGGTTTTATGGCTGAGATAGGCTTCCTACATAAAGTCAAACCAAACCACTTTCAATATGTCTCACTCCGTTACTCAGAAGTAGATTCTGAGGGGAGTGGGATGTACACAGACCATACCTCTACGGCTCTACCCCTAGGAGCAAAAAAGCTATTTAAGTGAACACCAGGCTAAGAAAAATTTGTAAAGTTCTGGAAGATGTTGAAATTTTGAAAAAGGAAAAAAAAACTGAAAATGTTTGAAAGTTAATAAATTAGCAAATGTTTTGGAGTAGAAAAAAGACTGATACATTGCAAATTAAAAATTGTGAATGTGTCAATCTATCAATGTTTTATGCATTTATAAGCAATTCTTTATTGATGTGTCTACTTTGATGTCCTTTAAAGATTTGCAATCGGAACTCGGAAGTGTAGAAACTGAATATACTATCAATAGAGTGTGGCTCTTGTAATAAGCTATAGAAAGCAAGACATAAAGAAGGAAGGTTATCGTCACAGTTCGGTTTGGAAAAATATATCTACAGGACGGGAATGGATGTGAAAAAAATAGGGAGGGAGGATTGCAGAGAGAGAAATGAGAGAGAAGAGAGTAAGTTTCAGACTTTCAGTCGATAATGAAATATCATTGTTCCACTCAGTTCAATTCTTTACATGACAAAATTCAGGTAAGAAACAATAAAATCTTATCTAAAGTTGGAGAATTAAATTTGTCACTTGACATACCTCTATCTGTAACTTTCCACCACCTCCCATGCCCTGCAAACCAACAACCACTTCATGCATTTCTCCTGCAAGATATTTTTTAGCTTTTATAGAATATTTTTTGTTTATTAGCTATCAAATAAAGTTTCTATTGGCACACGCGCACACATTCCCTTTGTCCTACATTACAAAGGATTTTTTGGATAACGATAAATGACCAAACTTATTTACTATTAAATATTGGTAATATTTAGTCTAGTCATCATCATCATTACCCCAGTGCCGCAAAGGCTCCCACCTACGGTGGGGTAAGGGGGGGTCGGATGTACGCAGTCTTACCCCTGTACTAAAGCAGGGAGAGACTGTTCCGAATGACCCGCAGTGAAAATCGCATCGAAAAGTATATATTTAAAACTACACTAGAAGTTGAGTAAGAACAAAAAAATGGTTTGAATATGATAAATTTTGTAATACAAGTGGTGGATAAAGAGGAATTGGTTTGACCACATGAATAGTTAAAGGTATGCATAAAATGGTTATAAGACGGTGGTTATAAACTTATAAGCACTATATACACTTGGCATAAATAGATCAACCATTTCAAACGATAAATGATAAGAAAAGAAAATGACTTAACACATCAAATTTTAGCAGATTTATGCTCAAGTATTGTGCTTACTGCTTAGGACCCTTTTATAACGCAACCAGAACAACAGGCTGTGTACCAAGTTTGATGTTGTGCTATGATGAGTTCCAAAATAATATGACTGACTAATAACCGGAATAGTATAAAGAATCCATTCCATGCATACCATCACAAAGGCTTTCCAAATTAACGGATGCATTTCCCATGCGCTTATGTGGAGTCACAAGGTTAGCATCCCAAGCTGCAAGCTAAAATGAGGTTCCATATGACCAAACATACAGTGAGTCTGAGTTCAGTCATACGCAGAAGAGCATGGATCAATACTTTCCCAGTAAATACCTACTAGTAAATACACTGTGACAATTAACGTAAAGATGATATTACCTACAGAAGCATAGATATACCAGGAATTTAACAAATAACAATAGCTGGTATTCTTTTTTTCAATATATGTTGGATATAGCATAGTAAAGCATAACGAAAAATTAAAAAAAATTAACTCTCAAAGAGAAAAAGACATAATAGGCTGCATAATATTCATAAGCCACAGGAAATACATCATTAAAAATGGCACATTATTGAATTCAGGGTGTTGCAAACTCAAAAAAGTACAAAGTGGTTCATTCATAACTTCTAGAGCAGCATTTCTTAATCGATGTGTGCAATGTTGGCTCAAGTTAAAGATCAGCTAACACGATCTACTATCCTCCTGGTTCGGTTAGTCAAGACTAATTATCGAATAGATCACCCAAACAAAGCTTATAACTGAGTTCATAATAAAAATGTGTTTAGCCAATCCTCAATCAGTTAGGATGAACTTAATGGATACATATTGAACTTAACTACTAAACGGGAACCTGAAGATCCTTAACCGGTGGTTGTTTGATATTTAGAGCAAACTCCTCATTCCAAGTTGGTTCTTTGGTCCTGTTCAAGTTTTTCTTGATAAAATTAGAAATTCTAGTATTGTTGGGGGCATTTTTAGATACAAATTTCAATTACTAGGATAAGAATATCAAGAAAAGATGAAGACTTTTTTCAGAATTATTTTCAGAATGGGATCTAATAAAAAATTTAAAAAACTAGATTGTGACGCACTTCATTAATCATTACTAGATCTCTTTTGAGTAAGAGTAGAGACTTACCCCCATTTGACCTTGCTTTTGGCAACAGCGCTATCCAACTGCATGATCACATATGGATCACTTGTCCCCTTTATAAAGTCCAAACAAAAGAAGTGGAGATGTGCTAAGTCAATGTTCAGAAAATTTACTAAAAGAATACTAGTATTGAATTTGAATCGACGAAGACATAATATGAGGGCACGAAAGGCATCAAGTGTAAAACTTTGTCGCTGTGTTTCTTTGGCATGAACTTATAGCGCTACCAAACTTTAGACCATTTACCATTACTTGGACACAAATTTCATGCCACCGACCCCAACATATTCGTGTAATGATGATGAAGATGATGATGACAACGACGTAATATGAGGAAAATGGTCTAACAAAAAACAAGAGAACAAGCTCGCTTCAAATAGTGTCAAACTAAGTCATCATCATCATTACCCCATACTAAAACACAGAGAGACCGTTTCCGGATGATCATGGTGAAAATGCGTTGAAAATTGCATGAACTAACTACTGGTTCATAACAAAGAAGCACAAGCAGTTTACTAAGTCATTTTGTTTGATTCCATAATATTCGCCAAAAAATTATGAGTCTTTGGCTCCATTGGAAATGATGGACAAAAATAGTGTCAAACTAAGTACTGATTTAAATTTCACTTAAATAGGAACCTTACCCATGGATCCATGGCAGGAAGATCAATACCTCTCTTCAGTTTTATGAGCAGCTGACCATCATAAATTTCACGTACAAATGACCTGAAAATTTGCATTCATTTGAAAGGAGGGATAAATTGTACCATTCACTTCAGTGTTGGAACTTGTACGAATAACTTGGGTTGGAATGCGCTTCACTGCTCGAGCAGTATATAGGATATTCTTGGATAATTTTAAATATTTATGTAATTAAATAAACTTTTATAATACTACAAGTCGACAACAAGACTTATCATCAAAAACTTTGACAACTTAATGTTGGCAAATCAAAATGTGAAGCGGATAACATTGCAATACTCAATCTTGTAGTGTTTCATCATTTTCTTCTCTCATATTGACATGTGTACATGTATATACCCCATTACTATCAATGCCATATCGTAGTATCAGTTCATAGTTTCTTACAAGTTACAAGTGATCCCATATAATTTCTTATCAACCTTAGTCTTTCATAGAAAAAATAGAAACAATTCCAATAATGAAAATGTAACACTTGTCAATGACTCAAGGCAGAAAGTAAAGCCTCTATAGCAAGGTTCGAAATTGCGTATTGCGTGTTTGAGGCGATTTCTTAGCATTGCCTATTGCGTAAGCCTCATTGCGCAATGAGGCGCAAGCCTCAATTTTTCAACAAATTTATTTTTATAAAAAAACTACTATGGACTATAACGTGTACAACTAACAAAAAAGCAGATGTAGTAATACTCCGTATAATATTCATCCACTGACTAACAAATAAACTAATAAAATTATACATAGCATAGTATTCATCCACTAAGCCACTAACTAACAAAAAAAGCCTTATAGAATCATACGTGAAACGTGATATTAAATTGATCCCACTAACTCACAAATAAGATTATACATAGTATTATTGATCCACTAACTCATAAATAATACTCATCCACTACCATTTATAGATTACACGTTATTCTGCAAAAATTATTTTGCCCATGCCCTACTATTGAAATATTATATTGATCCACTAACACACAAATAAGATTATACTCATCCACATCAAATACTTTTAGCAGAGTATGTACACGTTATTCTGCAAAAATTATTCTGCCCATACCCCACTATTCCACTACCGATTATCAATATTGTCTACAATATTATCAAATACGTAAATATGTAGTATAAAATACGAGGAGAAAAGAAGATAGCAACAGAAGATGACCACCACAGAGAGGAAAGCCAGAGAAGATGACCGCCTTTGCAGAATTCGCTACTACCTATTACGTATTTGCTAAGCATACGTAAATACTATTGGCATACGCCGTACAGTATGTATTTTAAAATAAAATTAATTTAGGAATTTGGGCTGCAGCAGTTAGATGGTTGGACCTATTATTTGAGGCGCACCTCATCTCCTGCTCTATTGCGTGCGCAATATGCGTAAGCTTAAGGAAACAAGGCGTATAATTTTGTATTGCCTAATCTAGTCTAAGCCTTGCACCCTAAAATCTGAAAAAGTAACAAATCTAGCCTTATTGCGTAGAGGCGGAACGCAATTTTAAACGTTGCTCTATAGTCACCTTTGCATATGCCAAGAAAAACAGTGAATATAGTTCTAACATGTCATCATTAAAACTCATCAAATCTAATAATAAAAAGCTCACTATCAAAAGAATTGAGCAAAGGCATGGCTTCCTACATGAGTTAACTGCTCAACAGGTAAGGACCACATACTCTGAAAGAAAAACAGTTTGGCAATTTGCCGCATCCACTTCATGCTTTCCTGCATTTTCCTAATCAGAATGACAGTTTTATTATTATCATCATCATCATAACCTTAATCCTAATTTTGTTGGAATTGGTGGCATAAAAATTCATTCAAAAGAGATACGATATAGGAGGAAGGAACTACTGAATTATTCACAAAGCTTAACTTTTTTTAAGAAAGCCGTGTTCTAGCTACATTTGTATCCAAATAACGAATCGAACCACTTTGCTCTAAACTGAATAAAGTGAACTCACAATGACACCATGAATAACTAATTTATTTGGGTAGTGGAAACACAGAAAAAAAAGTTTAAAGTCCTTTCTTGATGTGCTTTCATTACTCCCAAAAATAGGGAAAGGGCCCCCAATCTAAAAAAACCCTTCTTTAACACCAAATTTGTTGTTCCTCCTTTTCCTCTGAAACTAGAATATCAGAAAAATAAAAGAGAATAATTGGGATATGATACTTAACTGGAGGGCTAGTATACGCTTCAAATGCAAAACCAGCAAGAATGACAGCCAAATTGATATCGAACGGAGGCCTCTCGATCCCTGGATCCTCATCAACAGTTGGAAGGGAGTCATCCTTTCTATAAGACCCTTTAACTTGTAAACATGAATTCCTCCGGACTCCGATGGTTTTCCTGGGAAATAAGAGCTTCCTGTGAAAGGAAAGAGTTGATGGGTTTCTAAAACGGAGAAACCTTGGAGAAGAAGAGATGGTGAAGCTGAGATATTGGGAGTGGGTTTGCAGAGTGACCATGGATGGGTAGTGATAGCAACTGTGCAGGGGGGAAGTGAGTTGTTTTTGTGATTGAAGAGGTCAGACAATTTGATAGTTTTGGCTCTGCCGCGCTGAAACTCACTTTCTATAGCATTGGAATATTGGATTTTGGTAGGTGGCTGTAGAAATGAAAAAAAAAGACGGTTAGTTAGTTTACTAGAACATCAAAGGGAAAAAGATGCAAATAGGCTTATGTACTAACAAAAAAAACAGGTCAAATAAGCCCTTATTTAGGAGGTTCTGTCCGGACGTCGCCATTTGGGGTGGTTCCCGGTGGAATTTTTTGATGAATTTTTTTGAGCATCTTATTCATTAAGTGTAGTTTACTCATGCCAAGTTTCATCAAAAAAATCAATGGGGAAGACATTCAAATGAATTCTCGAAGATAACTGTGCTTTTAACTGCGCAGTTATCTTCGAGAATTCATTTGAATGCCTTCCCGATTGAAGTTTTTGCTAAAATTTGGCATGAGTAAACTACACTTAATGAATAAGATGCTCAAAAAATTTCATCAAAAAATTCCACCGGGAACCACCCCAAATGGCGAAGGTAGGACAGAGCCTCCTAAATAAGGGCTTATTTGACCTTTTTTGGTTAGTACATGGGCTTATTTGCACTTTTTCCCGAACATCAAATAAATACAAGTTTCTAATATCTACAATGTGAAATGGGTTGATCTTTTTTTTATAAAAAGAAATGGGTTGATTAGGCATTGAACTATCAAAGAGACTTCCACTTAGGGGTAAATCTCGTCAAGCGGTCAGGTCCGTTCCGAAACCGGGTCCGGTAGTGTGCGGATTCAAATCGGGCCCTTTTCGATCCCGGGTGAAGTTTGGGTACCCGTCCAGATATATCCGGCACAGCGTTCCGGTTTCAAAATGTTGGGATTAAATTGGGCAGTCCTGATTCCGATTTTAGTCTGTCAATCAAATTCCTTATTCCAACTTTGTCTCCGGCTTTGGGGGCGCAAAGTAGTCGTTTGAACTTTGAACAACTAGTATATCCATCGGGAGGGGTTTGGGGGTTTTGTACAGTGCATCACATAGTTCGAGTCATTCAAATTCGACTTGAACAAACTAAATCAAACTCAAGTACTCAAGTTATATATAAACTCAACACAAAAACCTGGAGATAACTCGATTGTAAGTTAGTACGGAATATTTTTTTTATCCATACAATGGCATTATATCATGCATGCAAAGCATGGATTCATGAGTAATACTTACTCTTATATGATTTGTTGTTATAAATATATTAGAGATTCACATATCATTTGACCTTTTAGACAATCTCGAGCGATATTAAGCAGGTTTAAGATTTGAAGTAAGATTTGAACTTAGTTATCTCATATTTAAATAAGGGAAATTATCATTTGATGTTTGATGTATTATCACTGACACCTGCATTATCAAAAATGACTTCTTACTACTCTATATGTAGTATCTTTTAATTTACATAATAAGTTTGGGATGTGTATGAAGATAGCATCTCATGACTAAGGTAAAAAGATGTGCTAAAAATTATAAAACACTTTTGTCTCATAATTAAAAAGAGCGCTTATGATTTATAGAACACAGACCACATACTTGTGATCAATCATTTAAAAATAACTTACTTCATTAATCGATCAATCCATGGAATACTATTCCTTATTCCAGTTTTCTTATTACAAATATAACATACGGAATTAAAACAAAACAAACTTAACAAAAACTACATTTTAGAAAGATATCTCAAAATGTGTTCTTAACAAAATCACAATGATTTCACTTCTTTTGATCACCCATTCCAAGTGTATTCTTCACACCATCAATAGCTCCTTGTGCGGCGCTGAGCACTTGCTCACCAGTCTGAAAATATATAAAAGAATAATGTTAATAAAGGAAATACATATATCACTCTTAAGAATAATTGAGGGACTATTTATAAATTTGCATCCATGAGCACAAAAATTTGAAACATGAGGATGTACATTTTTTAAATTTTATCGATTCAGGACCTAAAAGTTAAAAATGATTTATTCGGGATCTCAATGAATTAAGAACGAAAAGTATAAATCAAAACACTAAAATTTGGATTCAAACATTTTAGATTGGTTTGGCTCATTATTAGTGAGGTAATTAAATGTACCTGCTGAAGAAATCCAGTGTTGCCTTGTTCTTCCCTTCGCTGTTGAGCGGATTGCTGAGCGTTTTCAGTTGCATTTTCAGCTTTGTTAATTGCGGAATCTGCGGTGCTCTTTGCCGAATCCACAAATTGCTCAGTTTTGGCCTGTATTTTTCAATTTAATTACAATTTACAAACAACGTAACATTCATCAAATAAGGATAAGAGTATAATAAATTATTATAATATGATTTCAGAATGACAATGATTTCAGAATGACAATAAGATATCCATATTTATTGAAAAATATGCCATTTTTTTCTTATTTGAAAATTTTTACCTTTTATTTAGTGTACACTACGGTGTAAAATGAAATTTGTTTTGTTCTCGCAGAACAACAAATGTATAAGATATTTGTGTGTAAACAAAAAAGAATTGTGCATGTCAAATTTGTGTCGTTGATGTACGACAAATATTGTCATTAAACAATCCTAACAAGTACTTATTTCTTTCCAAAATTGTTTAACTTTTACATTACTTGAAATTTTAATTTTATGATCCATTAATTTTAAAACTGAGAATAATGACTTGAATTGGGACGATATATTTATTTATTTAAGAAATAATTATATAAATATGACCAAAATAAAGATGGTTTACAAAAATATGACTAGTTACTAGAGTAGTAATGTAATTATAGTAATTCATGTTCAAGTTTTGAACTTAAGTTACCACAACACTACGTTGTAGTAATGAATAGTCATACTTATGTAAATACGTTTTATTTTAATAATATTCTTATAAAAAACTCTTTATTTAAATGGAATAATAGCAATTTATTTATATACCTGAGTTCCACCACGTGACTGACCGGCATTGAACTGAGAGCTCGACATCTTGAATTGATTAATTAATTAATTAATTTGCTTCTTCTTCTTTGTTTGTGGAAAAGTAAATAACACAACTGCTTTGGTGAAAAGTTAAGGGTGGTAGATGTTGCTTAAATAGAAGATGGTATTGGTCATGCGTGAATTGCTGTGTGAACAAAATACGCAAAAGATGCTTGTCCACAAATGTGTTTCGCACGGGTTGAATTTGTCTCCGCCATTAACTAAGTTGTTAATCCACAAGTATGCACGAATATCTCTGGTGATATTGAAATTAAAACTTTTTTTAGGATTTAAATTAAAACGTTAGGTTAACAAATATTGTTATAGGATTATTTATTACTAATAAGAGTGAAACATACCATTTTTTTCAAAACAGGACCACTTAGTTTACACATTTTTAAATAGGACTTTTTATGTGTGATTGGACCAAAATACCGTTATTGCTGCCCTTGGACTGCTGCCAATTGCCTACCGCCGCCAACGGAGCTCTGGTGACCATCGCCGGAAAATTTTCCATATTTTTTTCTGGACTTTTCCTAGCATTTCTGCCACCGCCCGCCGGAGTTCGGCGTTGCCGCCGGAATCTGCTACCGCCGCCACCGGTCGGCCCCCACTACCAACGGACTGCCTTGGTTGTGCAAGAGAACTGGGGGGCAATTAATTGGGTTAATTAATTGCCGGAGTTCGCCGCCACCGTTGCCGGAATCCGTCGCCGACCGGCTGCCGGAGTTCTGCCGCCACCACGAACTGCCCCGCCACTGACGGACTGCCTTGGTTGTGCAAGGAAACTAGGGAGACAATTATTTAGATCAATTAATTAACTAATTAATTAATTAATTAGAATCAGGGATAAAAAAGCTAAGGTTGGTCCTATTTAGGGAAAAACATGCATGTGGTCCAATTTTGGGAAAAAAAGTTGAGTTTTAGTCCTATGTTGGACAATTTTCTCATTATTATACTACCTCTGTCGCGAAAAGGTTCACTGTATTGACTTTCCTTGGTCAATGATGACGAACTATGAGCAATGATTATAAGTATTATATTTGTATTTAATTGATAAATTTATACTTTTATGAAATATTTTGAATAAAGAACATGTTGATATATCTTTCATATTCTAAATAATCATTCCATATTAAAAAAATATAATTAATCAAAATTGAATACCATTGATCATGAAAAGTAAATTTGAGGAATCTCTTTGGGACGGAGGGACTATATTTGTTCAAAAATATCAAGTGTGCATATTAAATCAAAACAAGCAAATACTATTATACTCCACTGTTTTTAGATTGATCTTGTGTTCGAAGGCCGTAATTAAGAATTATTGCTTCGCCAAAAATTTTTGTCACAAACGTGTATTGGGTCGTGTCAATATTATTTAATTAATATTACCTCATTTTATAACTATTTTTTTAATGAATAAATAAACTTCATATCCAAACTAGTAAATCGTTTGCCAAGTACCTTGTGGTCTGATGGCATCACTGTTCGAGTCTCATCCCAATCAAGGATGTTGACATTAACTAGAGCAGATACTATAATTGGTTTAGAAAGATTTGCAAACAAAAAAACGATATGAGATGGTAATAAACCTGATTTTATAACTATTGAATACTTAATTATGATAAATGGATTAAAAAACCTCTCAAAAAAAAGGATCAAAATCGATCTCAAGTTTTTCTTACGAATGTTTGTCCCCGTACATCGTTTTACCAAGCAACTACGAACTACCCTTTAAATTAAGAGCTCGTTTGGTAGCACGAAAATCGGCTGTTTTGGCTGATTCTGCTGAAATTTATGAAGTTCTGGCTGAAGTGGCTGTTTTGGCTGTTTCTGCTGTTTTAAGTAAAAAATATTTTTAAAATATATTTTATTAATAAAATAAATAAAAAATTATATGTAAAAATAGTTAAAATGATCATCTACAATAACTTCAGCCAATACAGCCAGAAAAGTAACTCCAACCTTACTTTTTCTGCTTATTACACAATTCAGTGTGCGAAAGTAAAAGTTACGTGTTTGGTGAAAAAGTTGTCTGATACGCTTGATAAGTCGAAAAAT